AAATGTATCGCAGTTTCGAATTTCTTCAGGTAAGGAATTGAACACTCGAGCTGCTTCATCTTGGAAGGTTCCAGAGATAATAGGGACTACTAGACGCCTGGCAGATGATGATCGTAATGGTCTTATAGGAATATATTCCTGTAATTTTAAGTATGAAGGCCAGTCATCACAATTCATTGCTTTGTATGCTAATTTGGCAAGATGATAATTGCTACGTTCCAAAATTGGAAGCCAACCGAGAGATATGACATCAGTGAATCCAGCGTACCTATTAAATGCAAAGCCAGCAGCAGCGAACTGCACTCGTTGTAAGCGTTTTAATAGGTATTCTGGTACTGGACTAGACACGACATCGTTGTAATCAATTTTTGATAGCAGCAGACACTCCGCGAGTTGCTTCCGAATTTTAAATGGTGCCAAATGTTTCAATTTTCTCAAGACGGATAAACGACACTCTCTTGCCAAGTATGAAGATCCAGGCTTATACGGATCGAAAGCTTTGCTATAATTTATTACGTTTTTTGTGTAATATTATTTATTTATGCCTAAATAAATTTGATTTGATTTAAATACAAATTACAGTTGGCAGGGAAACAACTTGTTGCATTCACAAAATTGCTCAATATTTAATTGCTCCTCTCAAAATCTAAGCCGAACAGAAATTAATATTAAAATGACCAAACTGTGCATATTTGACACATACGGTAAAATGTATAACAATGTTAACAAAAATTTAAATTTTCTTATAAGCTACCTTAATAGATAATATTTGGTTGAAGTTGAAATATATAAAACAGTTTTGGAAGTTCTTTCTGACAACATAAAAGTGAAACTTATTAAGTGGTCGGGCTCCTTCATACCTGATGGATCTAAACTTAACAACAACTGAGGCAACAACATGTTTTGCTGCTATACTCACGAAAACACAGATAGATGGATGTCTGTGATAGAGACTCTTTTACTGAGATGCCCGGGCGAACAGCTAAAATTATCGAAACTAGTATCTGAAAATTATTCTTATTTGTTGAGATACATGTTGTGCAATTTTCCTTAATTTTGAAAACGTCACTGCACAAGGTTACGTGTTACGAACACAGGATGTATTTCAGTTAGCTACTTCTTACCGATTTAGTAATTAAAATGTTGCGGCTCAGTTACGTTACAAAATATCAACACTCCGAAAACAGCAATCATTTTCAAAACAGTGTGTAATATATCGACATATTATTCAACATAGGTCAACATCACAGATGATGAAATTATTACATATTATAAGCGAATATATACAGATAATGAAATATGAAAATGTCTATATATATAGGTATTACTGTACGTATGAAGAGTAATCAGTTTTTTAGAAGATTTTAGTTATAACGAAGTATATAACTACTTAACCTGAGATCAGGCTCTATTTTACAAATAATAGCCTGATACAAACCTTAATCCGATGGCTTTCCACACACAGCAAAGTTTATATTTAATAACCAATCAAAATGTCGCAGGAGAAATTTAAATTTCACACAACGACAACAACAATCTAATTATAGTTGTGATCACTATAAAATATATCAACAATAATAGTATAATCTAATTAGCACCAACCAGTCGAATCATAGTTTAAAACATTTTTTCTCATAGACCAATAAGATTTACAACCAAAATACAGTTGTAAAAGCATGGACTTTTGTTAAGGTTTGTATCAGGCTTATTCATTTATTTATAGGCCTGATCGCAGGTTGATAACTACTCGACAAATATGACGTACTTTAATTAATTGATTAAAAATGCAAAGAAATAGAAATGCAAAAATGAACACAAAAATGAAACTGTTATTACAATTTGAACATGTCTCAAGTAATGTTAAAAGCTTTAAAAATCAACTTTCTCGTAAACATCCTCATCCAAATGCAAACTTTGATAATGTGCATCAATGGTAACTCTCCCAGAATTGTTCAGTTGTGAGTACAGTGCTGGTTCTTCGTAATGATTTTCAGAATCGCATAATTGTGGTGGTTGTACACTTGCTTGTCCGCAACCTTCGTAGGCAGGGTTTTCGATTTTACCGATGTCTCTCGTGTTCTCTGTTGTTTTTCTGTTTCTTTGGCGGAAACAACAAACAGCAATGAATATTGATGTCACGATGACAACTACTGATCCAGCCACCGCTCCAATAAGAATCCAGGTGTTACTACTTGATGAAGACGTTGAATGGCCTGAACTTGGATCGAGCCCTATCAAAAAATTAAAATCATAAACATAGGTTTTTTAGTTGCCGGCTTGTAACAGTTTGTTTCTAATACTGAGAAACAGCATACTCTGGAAGGCGTTGCAAGAGCATACAATTTGCATTTGTTAATATTTAGTTCGGGTTATTAGTTACTTCAATTCGTTCAATTTACGAACAAAAAATAATCGCATTTTTAGATTGAAGTTTAATGCATGAAATTGCCTTCTCTTAGGACTTAACTTGATTTAAATCTTTGGTAGAAACTCCCCAATTTAAACTGAGACCATCTCAACTAGTTTTTTTTTATCAAAGGAATCTGTTTTCAATCAACTACACTTGGCTACTAACTCGCTCTAAGTTAAAGCAAGCAATACCATCCCGGAGTAGCTATAAAAAATATTCTACACTTTAGAATTTAGAATTTAAATATGATTTAGAAACGCAATTTAAACAATGATGGATATTAGAATGGCGGTGGTAGCTAATCCTTATCAGGCTTAAACAAAATATTCAAACACTCATAGAGTCTCAATATATGCTCCTAAAACTGATGTAATTAATGAAGAATTTATCTGTCATACATAGATATATACCGTGGGACAAATGTGTCCTGTGGAATGTACTTACCATCGTTGTCATTAATGGTAACAGTTGTTACTCCCTTAGCTTTGTCAATTTGCACTCTTGGATTGGTAGTTGATAGAGTGACAACAAATACTTCGTCAACTTCAGTTATCAAATCATCCTTGGTTGCTATGCCAATTGTATCCTTAGTAACACCAGTACGAAAGCTTAATTCAGTTGATGAAAGCACATTGAAATCTGCATCACTGGCACTTTCAGGTGAAACAGTGGCCCTAAATATAATGTGAAAGCAGAGGGCGAATCAATTCAGTTGTAAAAAGCTCTTGGAAGTATTTTTTCCCCTTTTATTTGTGAGGTTATTCTGTTGTTATGTTTCTATATGAAAGTATATTTTCTGACTCCTAATGACAGTTAATATACATGAAAATTTTAAACAAAACATTTGGCAACTTGTGGGCTGTGCGCAACTATTCAATAAATTTCGAGGAATTGGTGTGTCAGAGTACAAACAATAATCTTAAGAAAATAGGGAAACAAAAGAGTTTACGACGAGTACATAAGACGCAAAGGAGATACTGTATTGTTGTGAACGGAGCTATTTGAGGTAATACGTGTGCACATTATTAACTTTTTCAAACACACATATGGCGACTAACGAGAAAACAGAACAAGTTGATTCATAGCCGAGTAGTCGAAACGAGGATTTACTGACGGTAAGGGCAAACGGTAGTTCGAAACTCCGATGTCGGCCCAAACATTCAGAACATTAGATGAACTTTGTCAAACTATTGGCCAAATATCTATGATGCTAGGCGACTTGAGTCAAGACCAGAATATGCTACACCATCAATGACGCAGACGTGGAATACTCCAAGCAAAGTCGACGAGCCAATAAATGCTCAAGAGCTTTGTCTTCATATTCAGAATCCTGTTCCGTTTCTGGAGATGGCAGTCGTTCGTGATGATAGTCAACGTCCAGAGCGAAAATTATATAGAGAACTCGCTATAAAACTAATCGTAAAAGGACCGAATGTGAGCTGGATGAATCAGGGAAGACAAGTTTTGAAACTAGAAAATTCCTCAAAATAAGTTGTTGACTGCACACAAATTAAGTATCTGATTACCCAGACAATTAAAAAAGGCAAAGGTGAGCAATGCATGGCTAAATGTGAATACAAGGCATTAATGAATACAGAATACAAGTTTTTGGCGAAACAGTATCTATCCGGCGCGAAAAATTCATGACAAATGAAATTGGCGCCAAAACAAAGGCATTAATAATCAAAATGATGGCACTTTGCGGCGGGATTATTCCGAAGAGACAAATCGAAACACAGCAGATGGAAAGCTGTATGTCAATAACCATCTGACAATAAATAACCCCTCAATTAGAAACAGTAAATTATTCTGCCTTCTCGATTTTGTTCCAATTTTGACAATTATTTGCCAGTCCAACGGGTGGTCGCATATTACATATAATTGTTCTGCATCGACAAGTATCACATCATATAAAGAGGGTCCTGAAGGGGGGGGTCCCAATCCCATTTCCCACCTGAAATTTTGGCAAAATCCCTGTCCCAGTTGGATTTTCATTAGAAATCCCAGTCCGAGTTATTGAAATCCCATTCAATAAAAAACCCTTTATTTATCGGTAGAATAAACAGTTTTAAGACCTTTTAAGCCACCTTGTGTGCAAGTGGTGGACACTTTATCAAATATGGGGGGGCGGGCTTGTGCCGAAGGCACAGAAAATTTTTTAATTTGAATCCCGGAAATGGCATTTGCAGCATTCTGAGACACGCATAATCAGAAAACCCAGAATTCCGGGCGTCAGAGTATGCCTGTTCGCAGGTAGTGCTGTGAATAATATAGTTAACAACAAAAATCATGACCAAAGTATTTTAAAACACTTAAAATGTAGAAAAATTGGGAATCGACACGCATTACCTCAATCCCATTCCCATTTTTGAGGACTTCATTTCCCATTTCCAGTGACCAAATCCCAGTCCCAGCAACCCAAATCCCATTTTCCCAGTCTAAAATTAGATCAATCCCAGTTCCCATTTTACCCCTTCAGGGCCCTCTATAAAACGATTCAACGCGATATTTTGGGCAATTACCATATGATTTAATTCATTAAAAAAGGGCAGGCCAACATCAATTTGTCGAAATTAAATTTAACAGTGTAGATACAAGTACTGAAATAAACAAAAGGTTAAAATAAGAAAATCATATGAGAAAGATAAAATTGTTTTAAAGCTTTTTTCTGTACCTTAAGTGGACGACACTAGCAGAGTGATCAAAAACTTAAATACCAATTAAAACGCATCATATTACCACTTTATGATACATTCGTTTTTAAAGATACTCAACGACATTAAAAATGCATATTACTTAAAACCTATTCGAGAGATGAACATAGAATACACGAGGTTTTATTTTGAAATGAAGTAGATGAGTAATAAGCGGGAAACATTGAGGAAAGAACAGTGGATACAAACAGTAGGTAAAACATGTTTTGCAATAAAAACGTGTAGACCAGAAATTTTTAAAAAGTGTTTAGTTTAATCGGTTTGATGTTTGCGGCCCATTAATAGTGATATTGGTGACCTTAAGAGAAGAGGATATGACAAGCGTTCTCTGCTACCTCTTTCCTCAAGTTGAAGCATTTCTTGAGACAAAAATTGCCCAACATAATATGGAATTTGACGAATTTCCTCGCGTTCTTGCGGAAGAATACGTCTTCAAAGTACGTAGCCTATTATCCTAAAAATTCATGACCACCGTAAAGCTACCAAAAGCGAGCGGCAGAAGCGCGATTGAATGTAATTCGCCAACGATTATAACCACTTCGCTTTACACCTTGAACACCTTGGCAACGGAAAGCGATCACAGCAATACTGTGCCATTTTCTAGGGCAATTCTCATTTTAGAAACGCACCCTCACAGTTCAAAAGTTTGAATTATTCATAAGGCCAAAACCGTTTGCGGTCCAGCAGATATGGCAGATATAAAAAAATTACCAGGCTATCCAGTGACAGCGAAAATTACAAGAGGTGTCATCCAACGTCAAATTTGAGATTTGTTTGTAAAAGGGGCGATATATTTGTTGTGCCAGAGTAACGAATTTTCCATCAGCCATGCACATGACCGTAGCCCCTGAGTTTAGAAGTTCTTCTCTTCTTGCGATTTTGATAAAAAAAACCCTCAAAACATCACCTTCTTATTGACAATACACTCTAAATTTCGCAGTGTTCAGTGAACACCAAAAACGTGTAAAGTTACACCAAGTTGGTGTAAATTTATAATTTACACTTGGGAAGTGTAAATTAACAATACGCGAGTGTATTTTTACACCAAGGTTGGGTTACGCCAACACCGTCTCGGTGTAAACGTGAACATCTTGTTATTTAACACTGTGAAGGTGTAAATGTACACCACAGTAGATTAAACTAACACCTTGCAAGTGTAAATATACCCAAAGTGTAAAGTTACACCGTCACTGTGTTGGGCCAGCACGTTTAATGTATATACAAAGATTGGGAAAAAGGCCAATGGCTTCCCACAGTAGCTTGTGCAATTTTAAAACAATTAACAAGACAGCCAATGAAAGAAGATTTTAAAACTAAGATATGTAGACCAAACAACTCAAAATGTTATAGCGCTTCTACATATTTGTCATTTGAAAAACTTAAACCAGGATCAAAGTTATCGGTCATGCAGTGAAAATAAAAAAAATTGCGCTGCGTTGTCGAACGCGTCCGGTGTGTGTGGCCGAGCCTTAACGCAAAACAAAAAAACCCAGTTAAACACATTATGCGTAGGTCATTGAAATTTGTGAGAACTCAGATGTTTGTGTAAATATTACACTCTATCAATTTCAAACCAAAGTAGTCACGTTTCTACCTAACTTTTTTCAGTGTGAATTATGGTAACACAGGGACTAGTTTCGGATATGGAGCCAGATTTAAGCGATGTCTCGTGGAAGTTATTGTCCATGAAATTGATGGTCCCCGAGATTTGCGATGACATGACATGCCATCACATGTTATGACATGCGATAAAATAAAAAAAATGAATAAAATAAAATTCTCTAAAAAATTATATGTCAACTACCTTAATCTATCTTCATTATTCGCTTATAAGAATTTTCATCAAATTTTTATGATCATTTTCTGGCCAGATTTATGCTTCACACGGTTTCAAGATTGCAAGCGCTTTTTGGTGTATCTATTTTACAAGACAAGGGCCACGCGCGCAATGAGTTGTGGGATGTTGTGTATCACATGTCAAGTGTGACATTGCAAATTTTCGTCTTTATCGTTTGAACATATTTCGCTCAAGTCTCAAGATAATCGTGGGTTTTTATCAAATGTTGTTTTGGATAAGTGACTCTGAATCCGGCCAAAGGCTTATTTGATCTTAGGTATGAAATATTACTGTTTATATCATATAATTATAACGTCCATCGACCCTATTTATGATATCTAATTTATCTTCGCTGTTGTGGTTGCTAAAATTTGAATTAGTACGTTTTACATTGAGATTATTTCATTTCAATGCAGTCAAATATTAGTTAAAATCAACAATTCAAATTTTGAGTAAACACATTATAGTAAATACTGGGTTGCACTTGTTTGGCAGACTCGAAAGCATGTTTGAAACCACATATTACTAAGTATATAGCCATAAAATATTCACATATTGTTTTATATTTGCTGATTTCTACAAGCCTAATAGCCAGCACATGAAATTATTTCAGAGTCTCAGAGTATTGAACTTTAGGAAATTACAATGTTATCTATCTGAATCATAATGTTGTTAACCCAATATATAGAATTGACTAAAATGATCAGTTCAGTGCTATTCCAGAGCCTTGGTTAGCATTCTACAAGCATATTTAAATTTATGTGTTGACATGGTTGAATTTATCTGTTCTTTTAATCACCCCCTCCCCTGGAATTTCAAAATCTGTCAAGCCATTGAGTGGCAGCTTTCTCCCCTTGACAAGTAAACTAGTAAAATAGAGTGCATCAGGGCGCATTACGTCTTACAGGTCAGTGCTGCCCACAATATCATAAAAAGTATAAACCTGATGAGCTTGAAGGAGTTTAGCTTACATATGTGTCTGATAATGTGATAACGGAATGTCACTGGACTGGGGATTTTAATCCAGCCTTGCTGATAAACTTGGTTAAGGTGGTGTATTTATATAAAACAGGATGGCATGTTTATATAGATGGAATACACCCCACCTGGCAGGGATGATAGAGTACTTATATGAGAATATCTTGTCTTGGCAGGTGGGATTCCGGCAACAAATAATGGGATCCTGTCTAGGCCAAATAGAAAGAGTCATTCATTTTACTGTGAACACTCAGGGTTCATATTGCCATGCAGTGGGATCATAAATACCAAATGTGATTAAATGGGTGTAAATGATTAGATTGTTACTGCAGACTCTATATACCCTGCTGGCAGTGGTTTTTGAGCTGAGGAGAAACCAATCCGAGCAAACGAACGATCGTTTCATGTAGCCGCTGCCCAGATTCACGGACGAATACATTAAATTCTCAACCGGTAAAACAAGTTTGGCTAGTTTTTGTTGTTGTTGTTGTTGTTGTTGTGCGCATGGGTCAATGCTTGCCGCTGCTGGTAAATGTGAACCAGTTGTACACTTGAAAAGACATCAAATTTTACAAGATATTGCATAAAATGTGAGAAATTATTAAGATGACTTGAAAACCACATAGCGTTCAACAGAATAACTATAAATTCCACCCTGCAACAAAAATCTACCTCTACAGAAATAGTAGCACCGTCGCGACTCGATCTTTGATGGGTTAATGAAATTTGTTGCGGTTCAGGTCGCGACAATGAAAAATTGCAATAATGTCAAAATCAACAATAATTGGAAACATTATTAATAATGTTATTTGGAAACTTTGGAAATTAGAATTTATCGAAAACCTCACAATCTCTAACGTCAAGATTTTTAAGTAACACAAATAAAGTTCATAAACCGAATTAAAAAAAATGATATTGTCGGATAAATACAAAAATTTTAAAAGATATAACAGAAATTCAAATGCACAATTTGTACTTACAGTAGCTGTAGGGTGAAGCACCGATTTCAAAATATTTTAGTGCTGGCCATAACGAGATTAGAACCGATACATAAATTGTGAACTGCGTGTAGAATTAAAAAGTCGTTCGATTAAAACTGACAGACAATAAATAAAACCACAGATAAAACAGTACTATACCACGCTTGTTTACAGATAACGGACTACAGGAAGTGAAGTCAAATTAGTGACTTCCCATCATGTGATCTTCGCGCATGCTCGATAGAAGGTCGTTCGTTTGCTCGCAGTAGTTTCTCCTCAGCTCAGAAACCACTGCCAGCAGGGCAACTACATAAAAAACAGCAGTACAACTACATAAAACTAGTATTCTTTTACATGCGCTGACATCTTGTATTCTCATTGCCAGCTAACCTATTACAACTGACTCGCAGACAACAGAGGAAAGCTGCTTAAAATTACTATATGGTGAGTGTGATTATAAAGAATTAATTTTCCTTTATTTGTTGGTAGATTTTATCCCAGAACGTTGACTTAGATGATACAGTGTAAACCATTCAAAAGAGTAGAGGTCGGTGGAAAGCACCAAACAACATTTGCAACAGCTCACCCTGAAAGGCAAACCCTTCCATTCTGCACCCAAAATATCAATTATGAATAGTGGATTTTGTTCATTCAACATTGTCTGCCAGCAATGTGATAAAAAGCAATATTTAATTTTGATTTATCTTATAAATGACCATTAACACATACACTGTAATTAGGTACGGTCTGCCCTTTCCACTTACGTCTTGACAAGTAAAATTGTCAGATGTTAGACAGAGTACAATAATCTGGCATTAAAGACAGTAAAATAAGGAAGCAGGGCACACAAGGGCACAATGCAACTTAAATGGGTCACTGGACACATGGCCATATTAACCCATTAACCAGACCTGGAAATAATTCTAGCCATTCTTTGATCCTAGGCCAGGGGGGAAATATTTTTTTTGAAAACACTGTTATCAAATTCAGGCGGGTGGGGGGGGGGAATTTTCTTTGAAAACACTGTCATAAAATTTAGTTGGTTTAACAGCACTGAAATTTTGACTCTTACAGCTGTTAGGCATTAACAGCCTTCACTGTTAACAAAATATATTCAATTAATCAAAAATTGGATATTGGATAATAATAATATTAATTATTTATCTTCTGTAATCAGTGACAAATACTGCAATTTCATTGGTATACAGGACTCAATTTGAGCATTAATCGCACCTTTTCTGAGCTGTAATCGCACCCTTGTCTACAGCCAATGAAAATCAGTCTAGTATTTACAACTAGCTAATCAGCATTCAGGATACGAACTTTGAATTTTATTTTCTTTATTGCTGTAAAAATTCTCAAAGTGGAGAATTTTAAAAATTTAAAATTCACATTCTATTTTTGTGCTTTTTCCCCTTAAACAGTTTGATTACAGAAGATAAATATGTAATAGAACGAATTAAGTCGTGCTATTAATGCCATAATCATACTCGTGATTAACAAATCAACCTCCCGCTACGCGGTCGGTTGATAATTTTGTAATCACTCGTATGATTATGGCATTAATAGCACTCCTATTCAATCTATTACCGTCATTAATTAATTCTATGTTACTAATGTTAGCAACTTAGGTCTTATACTAAAACTGTCTGTACCAGTGTGGGTACTGGGTAGTGCCAATGCTGAGTGGTTACATAACTACCTGAAACAAAAAGCAGAAACTAGGGCACGACAACTTAGGTCTTATAGCATATCAAATTAAATTGTAATAAATGCTTATATAGTGTAATAGCTTCTTACAGTTGTAGTTATAACTTACTGTATAACAGTTTATTACTACTCGATTTGACATTTGCAAGTTTTTGATCAAGAAATTTAAATTTCAAGGAATATTTTTATGTATGCTCAAGTGAAAAAAAACCCTTTTTTGACCGATTTGTGCATCAGGTGATATCACTTATATATCAGCCTTTTCAGTTCTAAGAAAATTTGTGAAATTTTTAACCTTTTTGTTGATTTTTATGGATAAATTTTTTAAAGGAATTTCAAATATTTCTGCCATTCCCAGGATCCACCACTATTTCCAGGTCTGCTATTAACCACCCTGCACTCTCCCACTCACAAATAAAACTGCCTGGCATTAGACAGGAATACATTGTGGCACAATGCAGCTTATGACATACACCACAAGAATTGTACCTGTGGCCTGCCTAGTATACTATCCAGTTAACACCCCACAAATTGTTGCACCCTTCTTAAATTAACAAGTTTACAAGAGTCATGGAGCATTTGCTCAATTTTGAAGTCAAAGGTTCCCGTCAATACTTTCTTTGGGCTATCAAAGTTCCTTTCTAGTGAAGTAACTTGTAAATTATAAATTTATAGGTTGATGATAATGCCAAAGAAGTGGCTAAATTGACAAGCCCAGTATGTTCCCATTTATCATTATTGGTGGTATCGTCAACAAGTCAAATGAAGAGATGGGCATTGCTGGGGAAAACGAGGTTCTCCTCAAAGCTTCTGGTTCATTTGAATACCCGAAGGTGTGTGTGAACACTTACATGTTTCTTCAAAGAAGCACACTTCAAGTATTTGATAACCAGAACGTTCCAACCAAAGTATTAATTTTGATGTCAGAACTTAGTAAGATTACTAAAATATAAGCTGACCAAGAACATGAGGAGATATTTACCACTGTATATTGTTAAATTGGCAATGTAAATAATCTTGCAATATTTTTCAGCATTAAATTATTTTAAATCCCAATTTGTTTGTCAATTGAATTTCTTCGAGCAGGTAAAGGCTTTTATCTAAGACTAAACGTGCTAAATAACAAGTGTTGGTGTTAATTTTATTCTTTGTAGTGACTAGATTTACACTACTTTGGTGTCAATTAATGGAAGTGAAACATTTGCACCGTATTGGTGTTAAGAAACACTTGCTGGTGTAATATTACACTTCGAAAAGTCAATTTACACCAGTTTGGTGTACGGATGGAGGCAAGCAATTTACACCTTCTTGGTGTGAATAAACACTTGCTGGTGTAATTTTACACTTCGAAAAGTCAATTTGCACCAGTTTGGTGTACGGATGGAGGCAAGCAATTTACACCTTCTTGGTGTAAATAAACACTTGCTGGTGTAATTTTACACTTCGAAAATTCAATTTACACCAGTTTGGTGTACGAATGGAGGCAAGCGATTTACACCATCTTTGGGTAAAAAAACACTTCTTGGTGTATAAAAACAATTTTCCCGGTGTTAATTTACACCAAATTAAGGTAAAATTAACATAATTTTAAGTGTTTTTTTACACCTTGACTTACAAAGATTTACACCAATCTTGGTGTTGGGTGAACACTCGAAATTTAGAGTGACTATAGTCACTTATTAACTTTTAAGTGCTTGGAATTGCCCAAGGTAACGACGAGGAGCTTCGGCAGCTCTGTACATCTACCATTTCCTCCAACCTGGAACGATATTCTTCTTTCTGAGAGCTGCCAGGGTGTCTGAAACCTCTTATCACGAAGTATGCGGCGCAATATTTTCTTTAGGTTACATTCGATGTCCCATCTATAGCTTGGTATTAAGAATCCTGCAGTTATTTAGTTGGCAACCGCTATGCCTTGCCTATTTTAAAATGAAGACATACTAACTGGACTTGCGCCTTCAGTGACTGCCGACAATCTAAGGTACTTAAGCATGCCAAAATCCCAATAGAAACTTTTAAACTACTAGGTTCAAGTATTCCTGACTATGTTTTTGCTCGTTGCCATCGTCAAAAGGCTACATTTATCTCTTCATGCAGAGTCTTTCGCCTTGTGCATTGTTCTCTTGTAAAGTTTCTCGTTTTGGCATTCCAACAACAATTACCTCCGATTAAGGGCAATGGTCTAGATCCCACCTGTGGAGGTCACTAATAAACTTCTTTGGTACAACGCTGAATTACACACAAGCTTATTATCCCCTTGCAAATGGTGTCGTAGGAGGTTTCCGTACATTGAAAGTGGGGCTTAATTAAAGCTCGGTTATATAAGTGATCGTATAACTGGGAAATTAAACTTCTTGTGGTTCTGTTTGGAATACGATGTGCATTTAAGGAAGAATTTTTGTGCACTTTAGCTGAAATAATGTAATAAATCACTCCGAGGAAGATGATTCTACATTGCTTGTTACACTAGGGATAGAAAACATAACATTTTTTTTATTTGCATCTAATTTTTGGATCGACGCGAATCGACCATATCATGGTCCGTACGCTTATTACTTATTTGTAGGTGAAACAACCCCTTGAACGTAAATAGGAAGATAAAAACATTCTGCGGACCGCTAAAACCCGCTAAGTCAGACAACAAGGTCTTCGGTTATCCCTGGCAACTCGTACTTTATTTCATTAAATATTTCACATTTATTCCATTTTATTCTTTCATTACATATAAAATAAACATCGCAATTGAGATCAACTCTCGTTCAATTAGATCTGGACTTGGGAAAGATCAAAGTCCATACACGCTTACAAATGTACTATACTGGATTAAAGGTAATACACAAATAAAGCATAGATATATACGTGCATATATAAATGTATTGATTTTAATAGGAATAAGTTAAATTTTCAACATTCAAAACTTAATTAATAACACTGCCATATCAAATTTCTAAATACTGTAATTATTGTTTACAGTTAAGAATATCGTCACTATACGGGTATTGAGCAGTAAGAAATAATATTATCTATCTATTTCAAACATCTGACATTTCTCCCATATAGTTGTCCAACGTAAATTCTATTGGATTTAGCGTAAACACGAGTAGCCCATGTTAGTACTGTCCACTAACATATTTATCCAGTACGTGTAAAATTACATAATTAACACAACATGTATTCCACTTACCTAGCAGAAATTTGAGTTGTGAGTTGTCCAGTAACCTCAATAATCAGAACAGCATTACTTCCTTCAACGACTGTCATCCTCGATGGGTTGCTAAAACCGATTAGCAGCAAAATAACTGGAAGTAAATGAGTTATTTTTAAGTTTCATTGTGATCATACAGTATATATATATACATATATATATATATATATATATATATATATATATATATATATATATATATATATATATATATATATATATATATATATATATGACGAAAAATGCTAAAATTGCAGCTAGGATTCATATTTATATATTAAAAGATTAAAAGTTTCTTGTCACTAGCTATGTAAAAAACGTAATCACGTTTATAAAAAGTTTTTACAAGACGTTTCGATCAGAAACCTCCGATCTTCGTCAGTTGATATTAAAAACTAAGAAGCCAATAAACAG